GCATATACTGTGTGTGTGTGTGTGTGTGTGTGTGTGTGTGTGTGTGCGTGTGTGCGTGTGTGCGTGTGTGCGTGTGTGCGTGTGTGCGTGTGTGCGTGTGCGCGCGTGTGCGTGTGTGTGTGTGTAATCTGAGTCGCTGTAGTTTAATATAGAAGCCAGGGTCCACACTTTCACTTTGAGGCTTGCTTCAACCGACAGACTTGTGTGTTCTGTAACTTTGTCCATTCTCACTTGGTCTGTGGTCTGTGGTCTGTTGTCCGTGGTCTGTGGTCTGTTGTCCGTGGTCTGTGGTCTGTTGTCCGTGGTCTGTGGTCTGTTGTCCGTGGTCTGTGGTCTGTTGTCCGTGGTCTGTTGTCTGTTGTCCGTGGTCTGTGGTCTGTGGTCTGTTGTCTGTTGTCTGTGGTCTGTTGTGCTGTCTGTGGTCTGTGGTCTGTTGTCCGTGGTCTGTGGTCTGTTGTCCGTGGTCTGTTGTCTGTTGTCCGTGGTCTGTTGTCTGTGGTCTGTTGTCCGTGGTCTGTGGTCTGTGGTCTGTTGTCTGTGGTCTGTTGTCTGTTGTCTGTGGTCTGTTGTCTGTGGTCTGTGGTCTGTTGTCCGTGGTCTGTGGTCTGTGGTCTGTTGTCTGTTGTCTGTTGTCTGTGGTCTGTTGTCCGTGGTCTGTTGTCTGTGGTCTGTGGTCTGTTGTCTGTGGTCTGTTGTCCGTGGTCTGTGGTCTGTTGTCTGTGGTCTGTTGTCTGTTGTCTGTGGTCTGTTGTCTGTGGTCTGTTGTCTGTGGTCTGTTGTCTGTTGTCCGTGGTCTGTTGTCCGTGGTCTGTGGTCTGTTGTCCGTGGTCTGTTGTCTGTTGTCTGTGGTCTGTTGTCTGTGGTCTGTTGTCTGTGGTCTGTTGTCTGTTGTCCGTGGTCTGTTGTCCGTGGTCTGTGGTCTGTTGTCCGTGGTCTGTTGTCTGTTGTCTGTGGTCTGTTGTCCGTGGTCTGTTGTCTGTGGTCTGTGGTCTGTTGTCTGTGGTCTGTGGTCTGTGGTCTGTGGTCTGTTGTCTGTTGTCTGTTGTCTGTTGTCTGTGGTCTGTTGTCTGTGGTCTGTGGTGTTGTCTGTTGTCTGTGGTCTGTTGTCTGTTGTCTGTGGTCTGTGGTCTGTGGTCTGTTGTCTGTGGTCTGTGGTCTGTTGTCCGTGGTCTGTGGTCTGTGGTCTGTGGTCTGTTGTCCGTGGTCTGTTGTCTGTTGTCCGTGGTCTGTTGTCTGTGGTCCGTGGTCTGTTGTCCGTGGTCTGTTGTCCGTGGTCTGTTGTCCGTGGTCTGTTGTCCGTGGTCTGTTGTCCGTGGTCTGTTGTCCGTCGTCTGTGGTCTGTTGTCCGTGGTCTGTTGTCTGTTGTCCGTGGTCTGTTGTCTGTGGTCTGTGGTCTGTTGTCTGTGGTCTGTGGTCTGTTGTCTGTGGTCTGTGGTCTGTGGTCTGTGGTCTGTTGTCCGTCGTCTGTGGTCTGTTGTCCGTGGTCTGTTGTCTGTTGTCCGTGGTCTGTTGTCCGTGGTCTGTTGTCCGTCGTCTGTGGTCTGTTGTCTGTTGTCCGTGGTCTGTTGTCCGTGGTCTGTTGTCCGTGGTCTGTTGTCCGTGGTCTGTTGTCCGTCGTCTGTGGTCTGTTGTCCGTGGTCTGTTGTCTGTTGTCCGTGGTCTGTTGTCTGTGGTCTGTGGTCTGTTGTCTGTGGTCCGTGGTCTGTTGTCCGTGGTCTGTTGTCCGTGGTCTGTGGTCTGAGCGGAGCCTGCAGGGCTCTGGGGTGCAGAGGGACACTGTGCACCTGAATCCAGAAAAACTCAGATTTGTCTCTTTCATTACATTGTTTGAGATCAGTTTAGAGATTAGACAAATGCTCTCACTTCTAACTATAATTATTATTATTATTATTATTATTAATAATTCTAACTGTATGATAAGGGCAGAGAAACCAAGAAAGTGATGTCTTTGTTTGTGTGTTTGCAGGTGTCTGCTTCCGGATGGTAAGTGTTCCTCAGATGCCCACATATGTACAGGTGTTTTTATGGTCATACCACACCATCGTACTCAATTCATTTTATATGTGTAGGGAAATAATAATAGACTGGAGGTTACGGATGGCTAAGGCCAGGCTAGCTTTAACACGTCTCCAGGTGGACTAGAGGCCACCCGCAGTACTGCAGCCTAAATCCCCAAGTTCTGAAAGGAGATATCCATAGACCTCAGTGTTCACAGACCTCAAAAGTGTCCAAAATGACGTGCGCTGACATGCTGCAATACCACCCCGGGCCAGTGGGGGTGGACCCGAAATAAGAATTAGCCAATGTTAATGTATAGAATCATCTTACCTCTCGAAAACGTCTTTTCAGGATGGTACAAAAGTGGTTCTTGGCCCAAATCTCCGTTCCACATGTGTGTCACGGCGGATATAGGCGTGACTACGTTCTTTTATAATCACAGTCTATGGTCCAACCCCAGGTCTACAAGATGTGTCCAAATTGCTTGTCATCTTCCCTACAGAGGCATGGTTTGTAGGCATTGTGACAACACTTTTGCATGCGCCAGGCATTTCATGTCCGTTCAAGTGTCCAAATTCAAAGTGGCGAGGTAGGCAGCGTATGCGTGTGACTGAGCTCTTCACCTCATCTCTAATAGAGCGCCCAGCCACTCTGCAAAGGAAGCTCATTTCGACCGCTTGTATCTTCGATCTCGTTCTTTCGGTCATGACCCAAAGCTCATGACCATAGGTGAGGGAGGGAACGAAGATTGACCGGTAAATCGAGAGCTTTGCCTTTCGGCTCAGCTCCCTCTTTACCACAACGGTCTGATACAGCTCTGACTGCAGACGCTGCTCCCTCTTTACCACAACGGTCTGATACAGAGACCGCATCACTGCGCACGCTGCACCGATCCGCCTGTCAATCTCACGCTCCATCCTTCCCTCACTCGTGAACAAGACCCCGAGATACTTGAACTCCTCCACTTGAGGAAGGACCTCTCCACCCACCTGGAAATTTGGAGGTGCTGATTCTCATCCCAGCCACTTATAGCGCTTTTCCACAGCACCGGCACTACACCACTCTACACGACACGTCACGACCCGGTCGAGTACGCGTGCTTTTCCACATATCTCCATCGGACACCTTCAAGTGGGTGGGCTTTTCATACCACCGCTACCGTTACGTCATTTCCGCTACCGTTACGTCATTTCCGCTACCGTTACGTCATTTCCGCGCGACTCACGAGCATTAAACCAGGAAAAACATTACATCCTCAAACAATGGAGGACTCCGAGACGATCGTGGTGTTGCTGCTCTCTCTGTGGCTACTAGTCACAAATAGACTGAAAAGCCTGAGAAGAATCCAGGCCGCGAGACACCAAAGAATGACAAAGTTATTGAAAACCTTGCAGGAGTTTGCAGTTGAGGACAGGAGACAACGAGCTGAAAAAAGACGACGTTTGTGGGTAAGCTAATGTTGCTATCGCTAGCTTTGTAGAAGCCGTCCTGAACAAAATGGCTGCTGGCTGTCTCTGTAAATCATTAAAATGTGTATGCTGTATGTGTGTGTTTCAGATGCTTCTCGGGTTGCGTCGCCGCCGCAAGCCATCGGTGTGGGCCTTAAACCGAGCCTCCGAGTGGTGGGATATTGTAGTCCCAAGCTTCAGCAACACGCAGTGGGTGCAGAATTTCCGAATGTCCAAAGAAACATTTGATTACCTCTGCACAAAGCTGCGCTTGATTATGGAGCGACAAGACACTACTTACCGGGTATGTGTGCCCCTAAAGAAGAGAGTGGCTATCGCACTCTGGAAACTTGCTACTGGCTCTGAGTACCGAAGCATTGGTCACCTTTTTGGAGTCAGTATAACAACGGTGTGCCGCTGTGTGCAAGACTTTTGTGCTGCAGCAAATGCGGTGTTGGTCCCAGCGCAGATCCGTTGTCCTACTGAGGAGAAATTCAGGGAGATTGCTGCCTACAACGAGAACAGATGGGGGGTCCCACACTGTGTTGGTGCCATTGATGGATCCCACATCCCTATCATGGCTCCACAGGAATGTCATTGTGACTATTTCAACCGCAAAGGGTGGCATTCCATTATTCTCCAAGGTGTGGTTGATGGAAAGGGGTTGTTTTGGAACGTGTTTGCCGGATTGCCTGGGAGCTTGCATGATGCCAGGGTCTTGAGACTCTCTAACTTGTGGGAGTTAGCCTGCCGGGGAAGCCTCTTCCCAGCTCACACAAGAGAAATTGGTGGGGTGACTGCTGGCTATTACCTCCTAGGGGACTCCGCTTACCCCCTGCGGAACTGGCTCCTAAAACCTTTTCAGGACACCGGACGACTGACAGACAAACAGCAACTATTCAACAGAAAATTCAGCAGAGGGCGGGTAGTTGTTGAAAATGCTTTCGGCAGGCTTAAAGGAAGATGGCGCTGTCTTCTGAAAAGGAATGACTCTGACACTGAACTGGTAAAGTCTATGGTGCTGGCTTGTTGTGCTCTGCACAATCTGTGCGAAAACCATGGAGCGACCTACGTGACAGAATGGGACACACCTGTAGCAACAGTTCAGCCTGTGGTAGCAGTGGCACAGGGTGCAGATGAGGGGGGCAGTGATGTTAGGGAGGGTCTGATGCGTCACTTTCTGTCCAATGTCTGAACATTTTGCCTGTTTTGGAACAAGAAATAAACCTTTTTGTATTCAGCAAAAATGCCTTCTATTCATATTTCACTCCTGGGAAAGTACAGGTATTACTCATATAGGTCACATTACAGTCACCACTCACAGAACAGTCGCAGGAATATGCCATCTGCTGCAGATGCTTCCTGGAATACTCACAATGAAGAGCAATAATCCTAAATAAAATCAATATCCAAACAGTTAACCTGGGCCCATTTAAGCGCAGAGCTTCTAAAGTTCACTCCCAAAAACAAACTCAATTATGCAAATGACTTACAGGAATTGACACTACCCAACACGATGTCAAGACTTTGCATTTTCTCCAGATGCCAATTTCTGGACCCAAATCCGCAACATTTACTTTATGGCCAAAAACTCAAACATACAACTCAAAGTCCTCCATAGATACCACTACAGAGACCGCTAACTTTTAAAAATGGGTTTCAGCACTTGCTCGCATTGCACAAAAATAGTGCTGATAACATTAATATAGATATGGATGTTAATAGCAATAGAGAGGTCCAACGCACCACTAGAACAGGACACAATGTAGCGCAAGTATTGACAGTCATAATGGATTCATTTTTTGTGCTGTTACTTGTTTTGTCATTGTAACCTTTTGGTGGGATATGCAGGTATGTGTTCATGTATATGCAGAGAGCCAATATTGCATATTAATGAAATATTAATTCATACATTTTCAATCATACACCCATTAACCATTCCCACCATTACAAATACCTTTATTCCCTTTCAGATTTGGATCAGCCACTCGCACGTGTACACACAAACTCTTTATCGTGCCTTTCTTACCCACTTTCCTAGCTTATTGTATTGTAACCAACACTGTACATTATCAGTAGTCTGTATTGTTCCCTGTAGGCTCCTCACTTCATGACTGGGAATAAATAAACCTTCTATTCCTAAATTTACCACAATTAAGGATTTACTGACAACAAATAATGTGAAACCTTTGGTTTGCATGTCAGATTCAGATCAGATCATATTCATTTTATTGGCCATGTGCAGTAAAACTACATTGGAAATACATGCAAAAAGAGGTACTCTGTGTGCACCGACAGAATAAAAAGCACGATACAATGTAATATAAATACACATACACTGAATATAAAATAATAAATAATAAAAAAAACAGCTGACACTGTGGCACCGATCGACAAAACAATACAAGGGGTAAAAGCAGTTTAAAAGCAGGTAAAAGCAGGAATTAAAATGCTCTGTTTAGGCACCTAACAGCCTGTGGAAAGAAGCTGTTAGCATAGCGAGATGTCTTGCATCTCAGTGACCGGTATCTTCTGCCAGAGGGAAGAAGCTGGAACATGGCTTTCCCAGGGTGGCCAGAAGAGTCACCGATGATTTTAAGAGCTTTGTTTAAAAGTCTGGATTTGTAAAGAACCTCCAGAACAGGAAGCTCACAGCCCACGGTCCTCTTTGCAGAGCGGAGCACCTTGTTTAAAGCTCTCTTTTCTTTATCTGTGATGTTTCCAAACCACACAGACACAGAACCAACAAATAAACTTTCAATGGTGCAGCGATAAAAGTTCAGCAGAATCTTAGAGTTAGTGGTAAATTCTCTAAGTTTCCGCAGGAAGTAAAGACGCTGACGGGCTTTCTTTACGACCCGGTCAGTGTTTTTAGCCCATTTCAGGTCGTTAGACAGAGTTAAGCCCAGGAACTTGCACTCCTCTACGATCTGCACCTGGGAGTTGTCAATAACAACAGGAGTGTGAGAACTGCTATGACTGAAGTCAAAGACAAGTTCACATGTTTTTGCAGTGTTCAGCTGGAGATTGTTTACTTTACTCCACTGAAAAACATGTTCGATCTCTGCTCTATAAGAGGAATCATCATTGTCATGTTAACTGTCATGTGTACCGAGAAATGAAACCTGTCTTGGAAAAAATCACACATTTATTTAAAAAAAAACTAAATTTTAAAGTGCACCAATAAAATTATTTACAAAGTGTCTTGGTGAAGAGTGTCTTGGTGAAGAGTGTCAGTTTCGGCGGCCACTCATGGCTTCCACCAGCTGACCCAGGAGACCAAGAAACGATTGGTTAAATGCAGCCGCCTGTGCATTTTCCTCCCTCCTCAATGTCGCTTCCAACTCTTGCGACTCTCTGACGAGCTGGAGTTGCTGTGTCCGGTTCAGCTCCTGCTGCACCACATCTTCAGCTTGGATCTGCCTCATCATTTCTACAGTCTCCGTCTGGAAGAGCGCCCTTTTTCTCTTCCCTGTACAACAATAAAAAAAGTATTAACAGTTGGTAATTATCCAAAGCAGTGACATTTCTGGAGACATACTTTTATGTAGGCAAAAAGATTATTACGTTTCAGACCAGTATATATCACACTACCCGAGATGTTGCAACAACTACCCTTTCAAAGAGGAAAAACCTCCACTAAAAGAAAGTGTTACGTGTGGGATCATTTGACTTAATTGCAAATCGGGTAATGTTTGTATGTCATGTTTCACGCTTTGTCAATAAACAATATTTAATGGTCAATGTTTAGGCATTTTAGGACAAAGCAAGAGCATGACTTAAATACACCCAGATTAATCAAATCAGTCAGTGCAGCTAAAATTACATTTTGCTGCATTTCTTTTTCACACCAAAGTGAAGTGGTATTTTATCACAAATTAGATTTTTTATTTGGAAAAAGATCACTGACAGGTGGTCCGATTCCTTTTTTATTGACATTCTCTAAAGCTAGGTGATAGTGTCCAAAATATGCATTAATTGGACATACTTCACCGAGTTGAATGCTATTACTTCTGAGATCCACCAGGTGTCGGTATAGAGCTGCACTGTTGCGGCACAGTATCAATGTAGTTGTATTTTTTTTTTTTGCTGCTATAGGACATGAATTTTTCCCAGGGTGATGAATAAAATATCTATCGATCATGTATTATGTCTGCCCTGCGCCTTACCCGTGACCACACGCTGTGCGCTGCTAGACGTGTCGCTCGCCATCGAAGGGAACGCATCTCCAGGCGTCGAAGCAGCAGCTGGTTCTGGAGGGATTGGGGACGGGGACCTTGGGGGGTCGTTCGACGCTTCACTTGCGACAAGGGATTCTAAGACAAACGACTTAAGTAAAAGCACAAAACTGAATGGCAACACGTGAAATGGCAAGATGTAGCACGTGTTAGCAGCTTGCTATCGATAGCTTAAAGTAGCTAGCTCACTTTGTACAGCAGACAACAATCAAACGTTTACATGAATAAATACATTCCAGTGGGCATTGAGCCACAGGTTACGTGATAATGCATTTTCACAATAACTGCAGATAAAAGTTACAAAGCACTTACCATTATCGCCCATTCTCGACGTGGTAGAAGAGTCCAGAGCACACTCCCGTCCATTGTTTGCAGGCCTGTGGCCATAAATGGCATCCATCTCGGCATACCACCTCCAGGTCTTCCGATTGACCCCACTTCGGCCGTTGTGGTCCTTTATGGCCCGGTAATCACACTTCATCTTTTTAATCTTGTCCCTGCACTGCTGGTGCGTGCAGTGGTAACCGTGTGTGAGCAAGAGCTGGGCGATCTCTTTATAGACCTTCTCATTTCGCGTACTGCCATCGAGCTCCTTCTGTATTCTGTCTTCGGCCAGTAAAGACAGAAATGTTTGGACCTCATCAACAGACCACGGTGTGGACTTTTGCGGCTTGCTGGATTCCATTTCTCGAAGCGGAGTGCAGTGCGTATGCTCACAGGGCAGTTTTAAAAATGGCGGGGTTGAATCTTGTCTCTCAATACGGTCAGACGTCGCACTTATGACGCTACCAGTGACGACAGTCGTTGGCCAATAGTGTGAGAGAGCCGTTGGCCAATAGCGTAGGCAGTCCGCTTACGTCACGAGAGTGTAGCTTTTTGGAACCGCTCCCGAGGCGGTCCGAAAATAGAACACAATACCTAGCTTCAACGCTAGTGGAAATGCAAAAGTAACGCGCCGGGTCGTGTAGAGTGGTGTAGTGCCGGTGCTGTGGAAAAGCGCTATTAACACTCGGCTGCAAACCGTCCCAGTGCATGCTGCAGGTCCTGGTTCGTTGGAGCCAACAGGACAACATCGTCCGCAAACAGCAGAGATGAAATCCTGTGGTCCCCGAACCGGACCCCTCCGACCCCTGACTGCGCATAGAAATTCTGTCCATAAAGACAGTGAACAGAACCGGTGACAAAGGGCAGCCCTGGCGGAGGCCAACATGCACCGGGAACAGGTCTGACTTACTGCCGGCAATGCGAACACAGCTCTGGCTCCGGTCATACAGGGACCGGACGGCCCTCAGCAGAGGATCCCGGACCCCGTACTCCCAGAGAACCCCCCAAAAGACACCCCGGGGAACACGGTCAAACGCCTTCTCCAAATCCACAAAGCACATGTGGACAGATTGGGCGAACTCCCATGAACCCTCGAGTATCCGATGGAGAGTATAGAGCTGGTCCAGTGTCCCGCGACCGGGATGAAAACCACACTGCTCCTCCTGAATCCGAGATTCGACCCTTGGTCGTAGTCTCCTCTCCAGTACCTTGGAGTAGACCTTACCGGGGAGGCTGAGGAGTGTGATCCCACGATAATTGGAACAGTCCCAGGTTTTTGCCTCTGCAACAGCCCGGGCCATGGCACACTTGGCCTGCCGGTACTGGACAGCTGCCTCAGGAGTCCCACAAACCCTCATGGCTCGATAGGACCCCTTCTACTACAGTCTAACAGCATCCCTTACATCGGTGTCCATCACTGGGTTCGGGGGCTGCCGCCGGGCCCAGCACCAGAGACCCTGCAACCACAGCTACGAGCCGCCACATCGGCGATAGAGGAAGGAAGAGAACATGGTCCACTCAGACTCAATGTCCCCCTCCTCCGCTGGGACCTGGGAGAAGCTCTCCTGGAGGTGTGAGTTGAAAGTCCGTCTGACAGGGGGCTCAGCGAGACGTTCCCAGCAGACCCTCACTACACGCTTGGGTCTGCCAGGTCTGACCGGCTTCCTCCCCTGCAGCGGATCCAACTCACAACCAGGTGGTGATTGTCCAACCCTCCCGAGTTGGGTTCAGACCCCAAGTTGTATGTGGATGTGAGGCCGACTATCTCTAGTCGGTATATCTCAACCTCCCCCACAAGCTCGGGCTCCTTCCGACGCCAGTGAGGTGACGGTCCACGTCGCAAGAGCCAGATGCTGTGCGTGCGGACTGGGTCGCCAAGGTCTCCGCCTTCGACTACTGCCCAGTCCTCGCTGCACCATGCCACCACGGACCCCTCTGCAGGTGGTGGGCCCACAGGAGGGCCTGCCCACGTCGTCCTTTCGGGCTGAGCCCGGCCAGGCCCCGTGGGCTAAGGCCCGGCCACCAGGCGCTCACGTTCGAGCCCCGACCCCAGGCCTGGCTCCAGGGTGGGGCCCTGGCTGCGCCAAACCGGGCAACATCACGGTTGTCATATTCGTGCTGTCCATGGTGGCTTCGGACTGTGCTTCGTCTGACTCGTCACCCGAGACCTGTGAACCATGAGAGACCCTACCAGGGGCATGAAGCCCCATACAGCATAGCTCCCAAGATCATCCGAGTACTCAAACTCCCCCACCACGTTAAATTGGCAGTCCAGGGGGGAGGATGTTGTTGAGGAAGTAAGTATACTGCTATCGGGCTGGGGCTTGTAAAGTTCCTCTGCCTCCTACTGGTTTCTGTTCATTTCATTTTAAACGTCTGCGCAGCACCTTCATCTAAACAGGGCCTGAAACAGTTCTGGCAGCTGCACATCATGGAGACGAAACCTTGTGTTGCAAGCGAGTGAATGCTATACTAAATTAATAAGAGTGTGTGTGTGTGTGTGTGTGTGTGTGTGTGTGTGTGTGTGTGTGTGTGTGTGGGTGTGTGTGTGTGTGTGTGTGTCTCTGCGTATATGTGTGTGTGTCTGTGTGTGTGTGTATTTGTGTGTCTCTCTCCTGGCTGCAGTACACGGAGGCGGAGGGCAGGCGTCTGGGCCTGGTGGGCTGGGTGAAGAACACTCACAGTGGGACAGTGGTGGGACAGGTGCAGGGGCCGGCGGAGCAGGTGGAGGACATGTGAGTCACTCTCATGCGACATCACATCAAACTGATTTGATTATTCTCATGTCATTTACATATTGTCTCCAACTATCCAACTTTTGCATACATACAAACAAACATTAATGTTAATTCTTTAATGTGTTTTCTGAGGTGTAATGTGAGTTAACAGAGGGGATAGGGTTAGGGTTAGGGGAGATCAGTCCTTTCGAATAACTCATGACACACACACATAAACATACATACATAAACACACACACACACAGACACATAACGACCCTGGAAGTCTGGCTGCTGTGGTCGTTTGTTTTAACGATGTGAACAGTTGGATGGGCCATAACTTCCTTCAACTCAACACCTCCAAATCTGAGGTCCTCCTCATCAACCGCCTCCATCCATATCCCACATCCAAACCCACCTCGGCCCCTGTCCTCAAACATCACTCCCTCCGCTCCCACATCAATAAAACCACCCAAACCTGCTTCTTTCACCTCCGCACCATCTCAAAGATTAAAAACATCCTCACTCCTCCCGATCTCCATAAAGTCAACGTCCTCATCTTCTCCCGCCTCGACTACTGCAACTCCCTCCTCTCCGGCCTCGACGCTAAATCCCTCTCCCGCCTCCAGCTGATCCAGACGCAGCAGCCAGACTTCTCACTGGTTTTAACAGACGGGAGCACATCACCCCTGTCTTAAGCCTAGCGTACATCGGACTGGCAACTGATTATATCCGTCGCATATGAGTTGCTGCCCCGCACACATCGACAATCTGACGAAAACGGGCAACTCCCAGTAGCAGACCAGTCTCGGGAATAACAGCGCGTACATCGAAAGCAACTGGCCTCAACTACAGTGTGTTTTCTGACATAAACTGTTGCGGGCTCGCAATACACGCAATACACACATGTTGTCGGAGCGGCGCATGGAGCGCGCACATCGGGTCATATCTCCGAAACTGAGGACAACTAGTTGGCGAAAAGTAGAACACGGGCAACTGACTGAAACTGGAGACCGACTGTTTATCTCCAGTTGTAAGAGCGCGCACATCGACCGATTTCGGCAACTGATCATCTCCATCATCTCCTCTCAGTTGCCAAAAGCCGCCTTCAACTAGATGTCCCCAGTTTCTATGTCGATGTACGCTAGGCTTTAGCGTCCCTCCACTGGCTCCCTGTGCGTTTTAGAATTGATTTCAAGATTTTACTGATTACTTTTAAAGCTTGTTTAAGTCTGGCACCAAGGCACTGTATATTTATGAACTGTTAACCCCCTACGAGCCCTTCCCCCGCTGCCTTAGATCCTCGGGCAGGTCCCTGTTGACTGTTCTGAGGTCGAGGCTCCGGACGAAAGGACCGAGCCTTCTCTGTCCGGGCTCCTCGGCTTTGGAACCACCCGAGGAGATAAGGCTCCATCAGTAACCTCTTTTAAATCACTTCTTATAACCCACTTTTATCGAACAGCTTTTAATTGCTAGTTTTAAACTTCACATGCTGTATTTTAATGTCTGCTTTGTTTTCCTGTCTCTACTGTATCTAATTATTTTGACTTTGTGTTTGTTATTTTGATCATGCTGACTGTGCAGCGCTTTGTAAACATTGTTTTTTAAAAGTGCTATACAAAATAAAATAAAAAAATAAATAAAGATTATTATGTACACACACTCACACAGACACATATACACACACAGATAAAGACCTATATTTTTCATAAATAATGCATGTTGAAATGGTAAGCACAAACTCGCCCCACACCCTTCTGTCCAAATGCTCCTTTATCAAAGTTTCATGACTGAACACATTCTAAATGAGTTTTGGATGTTTCTCAGATTATGTTCTTTACTTTCTGACACCTACCACCAGATGGCAGTGTTGTTGCATGAGTCTTCTCTTACCGTGATTTCTGATTCCTCAAGATCACGTTTCGGGGCCAAAATGGATATAAATGATGACGTGTATGTGTGTGTTTGTGTGGAGGGCAGCTTGTCCCATGGGTGATGATGTCACCTCCGGGAGATATCCACACCCCACTGACATCACTTTGGTTGGAGCATAAAGCATACACACACACACACACACACACACAGTAGGGTAGAGTAGGGTAGGGTAGGGTAGGGTAGAGTAGAGTAGGATAGGGTAGGGTAGAGTAGGGCAGGGTAGAGTAGGGTAGGGTAGAGTAGGGCAGGGTAGAGTAGAGTAGGGTAGGGTAGAGTAGAGTAGGGTAGAGTAGGGTAGGGTAGGGCAGGGTAGGGTAGAGTAGAGTAGAGTAGGGTAGGGTAGGGTAGAGTAGGGCAGGGTAGAGTAGAGTAGGGTAGGGTAGAGTAGAGTAGGGTAGGGTAGAGTAGAGTAGAGTAGGGTAGAGTAGAGTAGGGTAGGGTAGGGTAGAGTAGAGTAGAGTAGAGTAGAGTAGGGTAGGGTAGGGTAGGGTAGGGTAGAGTAGAGTAGAGTAGAGTAGGGTAGGGTAGGGTAGGGTAGGGTAGAGTAGAGTAGAGTAGAGTAGGGTAGGGTAGGGTAGGGTGCTCCTCCTTCAGATCCGTCCATTACAGAGTTTAGTAAAACCCTCTGAGGTCATCGCTGTTAAAGAATTCCACAGCACTTCCCCCCAACCCAGCCCCTGCGGCCGTCCTGAACAGTGTGAGGGAGGGGGTGATGCGGGGGGTGAGGGAGGGGGGAAGGGGGGTCAAATGAGGCACTCCCCCAGGACCATGTGTATCACCTCCTTTATTATTTCACCACTGCCATGTTCTGACCCAGAGGAGATGATGTCACTGAACCATGTTTACATCAAACATGGACTGGACTTTAAAGCTCAGGCCCCTAACTTTCAAATCATAGAGCTGCTAAAATCCATGTCACTATAGCTCCTGGTTCTACAATAGTTTCACTTGCTACTGTTATATGAAAGAGACAGAGAGCTACTGTTATATGAAAGAGACAGAGAGCTACTGTTAGATGAAAGAGACAGAGAGCTACTGTTAGATGAAAGAAACAGAGAGCTACTGTTATATGAAAGAGACAGAGAGCTACTGTTATATGAAAGAGACAGAGAGCTACTGTTATATGAAAGAGACAGAGAGCTACTGTTTTGTGAAAGAGACAGAGAGCTACTGTTATATGAAAGAGACAGAGAGCTACTGTTATATGAAAGAGACAGAGAGCTACTGTTATATGAAAGAGACAGAGAGCTACTGTTATATGAAAGAGACAGAGAGCTACTGTTATATGAAAGAGACAGAGAGCTACTGTTTTGTGAAAGAGACAGAGAACTACTGTTATATGAAAGAGACAGAGAGCTACTGTTATATGAAAGAGACAGAGAGCTACTGTTATATGAAAGAGACAGAGAGCTACTATACTGTATGACCCTACAGTTATTTGTCATGACTCAAATTGTCATGTGGTAAATTCTAAATCCTTTGGGGAGCTACCTGGAAGGGGCTGGCGAGCTAATGGAACCTCCCGAGCCACAGTTTGGAGACTGAAGTTTAGTTATTGAGAACTGTGTGACTTCAACTGGCTCTGAAAAGCCTCAGTGTGGTCTTTCACACGCTGTGGAACATCTGCACAGTTATTAACACTCCCAGACCCCTCATTTGGACTGCTCCTCTTCAAATCAATGGAAGTTAGTGAGTTTGCCATCAGCTTAATTCAAATTTACCTTTAATAAGTGCTAAAACTGATGAATATAACTTATATTATAGAAAACTCCAGTTTGTTGAAAGGATAATGCTATTAACTAACAGTACGTTGTTATGGTTACGGCTCTGGGAGTTCTGATGGGACCATCCCGCTCCCCATGGACCAGTGGCTCCTAAGTGTTTGTTATTGTTGCAGGTTGTGAACGGTTTGATTCTCTGTTCTGTCGTTGGCGAATCGACAACTTTGTACAGTCCTCCGAGACTGCCCAGACTCATTCAGATCCAAACCTGACAGAGGGTAATGTCCCACTTCTGGCAGTAGATGGCAGCGTGGTCTGAGTGACACATGCAGCCTCCACACCCAGCACGAGCTCACTTCCTGTGGGCCTGGGAAACAGGAAGCAGCTGGTCCTGTGGAGGTGGAAAAGAAAGGAGGGAGGGAGGAAGTGGGGAGGAGGGAGGAAGGGGGGAGGACTTTCACTACATGTGTATCATGAGGAGAACAAGGGTCAAAGACACAGATCTGTGATCTGAGAGAGGAGAGAGAGGGGAGAGAGAGGGGAGAGAGAGGGGAGAGAGAGGAGAGAGAGGGGAAAGAGAGAGGAGAGAGAGGGGAGAGAGAGGGGAGAGAGAGGGGAAAGAGAGAGGAGAGAGAGGGGAGAGAGAGGGGAAAGAGAGAGGAGAGAGAGGGGAGAGAGAGGAGAGAGAGGGGAGAGAGAGGGGAGAGAGAGGGGAAAGAGAGAGGAAGAGAGAGGGAGAGAGGGAGAGAGAGGGAGAGAGAGGGGAGAGAGAGAGGAGAGAGAGGGGAGAGAGAGGGGAAAGAGAGAGGAGAGAGAGGGGAGAGAGAGGGGAAAGAGAGAGGAGAGAGAGGGGAGAGAGAGGGGAAAGAGAGGGGAAAGAGAGAGGAAGAGAGAGGGGAGAGAGAGGGGAGAGAGAGGGGAGAGAGAGAGGAGAGAGAGGGGGAGAGAGAGGCGAGAGAGAGAGAGGGGAGAGAGGAGAGAGAAAGGGGGGAGAGAGAGGGGAAAGAGAGGGGAGAGAGGAGAGAGAAAGGGGGGAGAGAGAGGGGAGAGAGAGGGGAGAGAGGGGAGAGAGAGGCGAGAGAGAAAGGAGAGAGAGGGGAGAGAGGAGAGAGAAAGGGGGGAGAGAGAGGGGAAAGAGAGGGGAGAGAGAGGCGAGAGAGAAAGGAGAGAGAGGGGAGAGAGAGGGGAAAGAGAGAGAGACAGAGGAGAGAGGGGAGAGAGAGAGGAGAGAGGGGGGAGAGAGAGGGGAAAGAGAGAGAGAGACAGAGGAGAGAGGGGAGAGAGACAGAGAGGAGAGAGAGGGGAAAGAGAGAGAGAGACAGAGGAGAGAGGGGAGAGAGAGAGAGAGGAGAGAGAGGGGAGAGAGAAAGGAGAGAGAGGGGAGAGAGGAAAGAGAGATGAGAGAGAGGAGAGTGGGGGGAGAGAGGAGAGAGAGAGGAGAGAGAGGGGAGAGAGGAGAGAGAGATGAGAGAGAGGAGAGTGGGGGGAGAGAGGAGAGAGAGGGGAGAGAGAGAGGAGAGAGAGGGGAAAGAGACAGAGAGACAGAGAGAGAGGAGAGAGAGGGGAAAGAGAGAGAGAGACAAAGAGGAGAGAGGGGAGAGAGAGAGAGAGGGGAGAGAGGAGAGAAGTAGTTGTAAAGTATAACTTCTTCTGGAGTGGAGTAGAGCTGTTTTTGGTCTGAAGGTTCGAATCCACCTCTAGACCTTTCTGAGTGGAGTTTGCATGTTCTCCTCGTGTCTGCGTAGGTTTCCTCCGGGTGCTCCGGTTTTTCTCACCTCTACTGAGCCATTTCAAATACTTCTAAACCAAAAGTCTGGCCTACCCTCGTGCCTCGTGTCCGTGTCTTGGTCCGTCTCACACACATGACCTCGATCCTGTTACAGTCTCCTCTAGCCCAGGAGGCGGGACTGTCCCAGGAGGCGGGACCGTCCCAGGGAACGCCGTGGTCACAAACATGCGGTCGGTCCTGCTCCAAATGCCCACATTCTCAGGGTAAAAATAGATGCAGAGGAATGTTCCAATTTTCCCATCTCTCTGCGGAGACTGCGGAGACGAGACCCGAGACACACCGCAGATGGAAGCAGAAGATCCATGTTGGGCCAGATCTGAAATCGAGGCTTAAAGCGTTTGCGGGAATGTTTTTACAATACACACAGGGCATTTCAATCATGGATATTCTCAGAGCATTAACAAGAGCAAAGATACAGTCCTTCAGTTGTTGCAGCAAAACACAACTGTTTTAACCTGGATTAGAACATAGTGAGAGAGGAAGACTGTCCCAGATTTTCAGGAAGACTGTCCCAGATTTTACTTTCAATATAAGAGAATCTCTGAGCCTCATATTATATTATATTATTATATAGACAAACAGGAAGTGTGTGTGTGTGTGTGTGCGTGCGTGTGCGTGCATGTATGTGTGTGTGTTTGTGTGTGTGCGTGTGTGCGTGCGTGTGTGTGTAGTAGTTTATTATTCTGAAAGTAGCAGAACAAAACAGATATTATCGGTGGTGTTTGCAAATTCAACTGTATTTCATTTTGAACAGAACACATTCAGCCTTTAGTCAAATCTAAATGATGTATTTTTTATTACATATATATCTAAGACTTGGACTGGTCAGACTCAGTGTGGAGTCGGCTCATAAATCCTGTCTCTCTGACACAGCTGCTGCAGGAGGCTCAGTCCGACAGCTGTGTCTGACAGCTGTGTCCGTGTGCGTCCTGGTGTGAGCAGCTGCAGATCATACTCTGACACTTTTGAAATGATTCCATTGATATTCTCCTAATCTTTTGTTTGGAGCTGTATGTATCAGTGCGAGGGACAAACATGTTTTTCTTCTGAAATGTTCCTGATCATATTTGACGTCGTGTGCATCGTGAGCTGACTGTGTTTGTCTTTCAGGAAGGTGTGGCTGAGAAAGACGGGCAGTCCCACCTCCCGCATCACCAAGGCCTCCTTCTCCAACCAGAGGAGCATCGAGCAGCTGGAGCTCAGCGGCTTCTCCACACGTTTCTGACGCCGCGGCGTGAGAACGATCAGACGGTGATTCTATGAAGATGATGTGAAGAGACTGTTCCCTCCTCAGGGAATCCTTCATCTCCATCTTTCTATTTAGTGTGTTTAGTGTATTCGGGATCCCTGGCCTGTGACTTCCTGGAAGTCTGCACTGCTCCAGGCCCTGATTGGAGGAGCGGCTCTGCACCTGGCCAATCCTGTGTCGCCACCTGCAGCCCCTCCCCCACTGAGGGCCACACCTGTGCAGGCTGGTGCCTTTAGTGTCCATGAGGGTCTGTGAGTGAAACGTCTGCGGTGGCGTAATCCTAGAAACACTTGTTTGTCTGTTTCTTTGGTCTGTCTTATTGTCACTTCGAGTTTTGTTTTTGTGGCACTTTGCTTTAGTTGGAGGCAGTTTTGGTCCATAGTTCTGGGTTAGCCGAGCTAGTGTTAGCTTGTTTTGTTTTGTGCCCCCTGTCTTTGTTTATGTCAACTCATTTACATCCGTTATTAAATGAATACTTTTACCATTGATACCTTGGGGTTTTCTTGGTGCCTCCCCCTCCCCTCTCTGAGCTGAGATCTAACGGGGACAACAAACTTCCAACTCAACCATACTGCACATTTGCCGGACCACAGACTGTAGGATCAGAACGGTCAGTGCTGCAAGACTGAAGCCCACTCACTGCTTGAACTCACTGAGAAACCATGGGTCTCTTCATGACCCTCGCTGTAGTCCCCACTATCCTTCTCCAGAGAATCCCACCGGTGATGCATCCGAGGGGGGATGCAAGACGGAGATATGGTGCAGGGACTGGTGCCCAAAGTCGGGTGAGACATGGGGAGGCAGCATGTCTCACACCCGACTTTGGGCACCAGTCCCTGCACCATATCTCTGGGAGCAGAAACACATCCACACAAGCACATAGACATCATTCTAAAAGTTACTGACCCGTGCTTTAAAATCCAACTTCAGTGAGAGACGAGAAGATAGTTCTAAAACTCTATGTCGGTCTGAAAACCAAGGCCAAACATCTGTGCTGCCCGTGCTGACCGTGCTGCCCGTGCTGCCCGTGCTGCCCGTGCTGCCCGTGCTGCCCGTGCTGCCCGTGCTGCCCGTGCTGACCGTGCTGCCCGTGCTGCCCGTGCTGCCCGTGCTGCCCGTGCTGACCGTGCTGCCCGTGCTGCCCGTGCTGATCGTGCTGACCGTGCTGCCCGTGCTGCCCGTGCTGCCCGTGCTGCCCGTGCTGCCCGTGCTGCCCGTGCTGCCCGTGCTGCCCGTGCTGATCGTGCTGACCGTGCTGCCCGTGCTGCCCGTGCTGCCCGTGCTGCCCGTGCTGCCCGTGCTGCCCGTGTGCTGCCCGTGCTGACCGTGCTGCCCGTGCTGATCGTGCTGACCGTGCTGCCCGTGCTGCCCGTGCTGATCGTGCTGACCGTGCTGCCCGTGCTGCCCGTGCTGCCCGTGCTGCCCGTGCTGCCCGTGCTGCCCGTGCTGACCGTGCTGCCCGTGCTGATCGTGCTGACCGTGCTGCCCGTGCTGCCCGTGCTGCCCGTGCTGCCCGTGCTGCCCGTGCTGCCCGTGCTGACCGTGCTGCCCGTGCTGATCGTGCTGACCGTGCTGCCCGTGCTGCCCGTGCTGCCCGTGCTGACCGTGCTGCCCGTGCTGCCCGTGCTGCCCGTGCTGCCCGTGCTGCCCCTGCTGCCCGTGCTGACCCTGCTGCCCGTGCTGACCCTGCTGCCCGTGCTGACCCTGCTGCCTGGAGAACAGTGAGTCTAGAGTATTATGGGATGGCACAGAGGTGGTCCCTGGGAAACTCTCAACAGACCAGGAAGCACGCAGTCGTCATGCCAACCTGCCCTCAGACACGAGCCGAGGCCTGTGATTGGCTGACGGACAAATACATTTTCTGTCTTGTCTTTTTCCACTAGAACTCCCAGAGCAGTCAATTTGACGGCTTTTATGTTTGTGCATCTTGGTCTTCATAACTTTGTGACTTTTTCCGTTTCTTTGAGTAGTTTATTTCTAAGTCATTATTTTCTTAATGACATTTTTTTTAGTTTTGAATGTCAGGAGTTCTACCTTTAACTAATTTTCCTCAGATGCTAGTTATCATAGCAACACACTGTTTACTTTTACCATGGCAACACACTGTTTACTGTCAGAGAGACCAGAATATGTGTAATATTATGATGTGACAGAGGCCAGTTTGATCTCACATAGTTCAGTTTTATTATGGTTTGAAAGTTTGGTGTCTCAGCTTTAAGTACATGCTATTGTCTCAGCAGGACATCTTCCATCCCATAATAAGGCAGTGGCAGCAGTGGCCCAGAGCTGCCCACACTGTGGACCCCTCCAGCAGCCCTGACCTCAGCCTCTTCACACGCCTGCCATCCCATAGTGGTCGCCATGGAGACGTCTCTCGCCCGCCATCCCATAGCGGTCGCCATGGAGACGTCTCAAGTCCGGGACTGAGCTGGGAGGAAGTGGGAATGTCCACATTAGAGTTGGATTCAGGACGAGTCAGAAAAATCTTCTCGAGCAGTTCGAGCATTTCTTGAGTTTGATTTTCTGATCTGTGTCTCTGAATCAACAACTTTGTGAAGTCCTCCAAGAGAACGACGGCTGTGATTTAGAACAAGACAAAAATGTAATTGATTTATTAATTAAATGTTTTGGAATTCTCCCCAGTGAATGAGAGGGTCGCGTCCCTCTGATTTCAGCTGCTGCGGCCACGGATCAAGTGGAAGAAATTGGATGGATGGAAAAGACAATTGAACCTAAGCAGTGCAGGGCCTGGTCAGTACTGCGATGGGAGACCTCTGAAGCTAAGCAGTGCAGGGCCTGGTTAGTGCTGTGATGGGAGACCTCTGAAGCTAAGCAGTGCAGGGCCTGGTTAGTGCTGTGATGGGAGACCTCTGAAGCTAAGCAGTGCAGGACCTGGTCAGTACTGCGATGGGAAACCTCTGAAACTAAGCAGTGCAGGGCCTGGTCAGTACTGCGATGGGAGACCTCTGAAGCTAAGCAGTGCAGGGCCTGGTTAGTGCTGTGATGGGAGAGAGCAAGTGCTACAGCGGGATCAGAACAATTTCAATAATATTTGTAACAATTTAAAAAAAAAATTAAACCAAGATCAGTCGGACACATAAGCACACACTCTAACTCTAACCCCAGTTGAGTATGGAGAGTATTTGGTGAGTATTGTGAGTATATGTGTGTTCTCTTGTGTGGCCTGCTCTCAGCCCACACAGCCTCGATCTGAGGGGGTGGTCTCCATGGCAACAGGACTCTTTCACTGTGCAGGACTCTCACATTCAACACTGTTTCTATCTACTGTGCTATCTGCATCCTTCAGAATCAGAGACCAGAGGGAGGCCAGAGAGAGAGACCAGAGGGAGACCAGAGGGAGACCAGAGGGAGGCCAGAGGGAGGCCAGAGGGAGGCCAGAGAGAGACAAGAGAGAGAGACCAGAGGGAGGTCAGAGAGAGACAAGAGAGGGACAAGCGAGAGAGACCAGAGGGAGGCCAGAGAGAGAGAGAGACCAGAGGGTGGCCAGAGGGAGACAAGAGAGAGAGACAAGAGAGAGAGAGACCAGAGAGAGAGACCAGAGGGAGGCCAGAGAGAGACAAGAGAGAGAGACCAGAAGGAGACCAGAGGGAGACCAGAGAGAGACCAGACGCAGGCCAGAGAGAGACCAGACGGAGGCCACAGAGAGACAAAAGAGAGAAACCAGAGAGAGAGACCAGAGAGAGACCAGAGGGAGACCAGAGAGGGAGACCAGAGAGAGAGACCAGGGAGAGACCAGAGAGAGACCAGAGGGAGACCAGAGAGGGAGACCAGAGAGAGACCAGAGAGGGACCAGAGAGAGACCAGTGAGAGAGACCAGAGAGAGACCAGAGAGAGACCAGAGGGAGACCAGAGAGGGACCAGAGAGAGACCAGAGAGAGAGACCAGGGAGAGACCAGAGAGAGACCAGAGGGAGACCAGAGAGGGAGACCAGAGAGAGACCAGAGAGGGACCAGAGAGAGACCAGAGAGAGAGACCAGAGAGAGCCAGAGAGAGACCAGAGAGAGACCAGAGGGAGACCAGAGAGAGACCAGAGAGAGCCTCTGTTCTCTCCTTGTTGCTGAAATGGTCTTAAGAATGTTTTACCATAAACTTGACAATAGAAAAATATGGATTAATCTGTATTTGTGTCACTGCTGCTGAAACCGTGTGATGGACAGTTCTGATGTCTGGGATTATTTTGCCTTTTGTATGTTAATCTCTTAATCTGTTGAACATTTCTCTGGCTACAATAAATGTGTAACAGACCTGTGTAGAGACTGTTACCGTCCCTCATAATATGTCAAATATCCATCAATGCAAACAATGTTGGAACTTCTACAAAATGGAAGCCACAGAATCATGTGAAACTTGGCACATTTTTGTTAAAATGATGTATTACTTTTCTGTTTTGTTTTGTTCTGTAGCTTGTGCTCCATATATGGTCATCAGCCACGGATAAATAATAATAACAACAATAACAGAACATGCTAGACACAACAGAGAGAGCTGAGTTGTATGTCCATTTCAATATTTTCACTGAGTGTGATAACCATTCACAACCATTTATAAGCATTAATAACCATTAATAACATTGATAACCATTTATAACCATTGATAACCATTGATAACCATTGATAACCATTGATAACCATTAATAACCTTTTATAACCATTTATAACCCTTTATTATCATTTATTATCATTTACTTATTTATTTCTTGTTTATTTGGTTGGGACAGTACATGTTCATGAACACATCACTCCAGATTGTAGCCATGAGCTAATTTGTCCCATAATAATGTCCCACGTTCACACTCACAAACACACAATCATTCACCCTGAACTATTGCACGTGTTTTTAGTGGTAGGGGAAACCGGAGCACCTGGAGGAAACCTACGCAGACACAAGGAGAAAAGGCAAACTCCACTCAGAAAGGCCCTATTCTGACCGGGAATCGAACCCAGAACCTTCTTGCTGAGAGGCAAGAGTGCTACTCAGCCACCGTATATTATAACCATTAATAACCATTTATATCCATCAGTAAAGGACACACATACACGTGTGTGTGTATGTGTGTGTGTGTGTGTGTGTGTGTGTGTGTGTGTGTGTGCACTTGTTTTCAACTCCTGGTGGGTTCCATAACCTGAGATTCCACTCACGTCATGGGGACTGGTTTTACGTGGTGGGGCCCGAACACCGGACCCCACTGGTCCAAGCTTAATAATCAATGGGTAATGCTTTTCTAACAGTCCTTATGCAGTCTCTGTAAAAATATGGAAAGGACCCCTGGAGGTTTACTTTCCTGAAAAAAGTGTGTTATGTGTCGGAACCCTGGTGGTGGGTTGCGGGATATCAAGGAGGGGCACACTGGGGCAATTTCAGTCCAGCAGGCTGGAGCCAATCATGGAGCAGCACAACAGAGGAAATCAGGTGTCAGGCTAGAAAAAGGTGCAAGTGTGTGGTTCATTAGGCTGCAAGAAATCACAGAGCAGCACACTGAAGCGCACGCTTACAAACCACTGGTAAGTGCTGACTACAAGTCATGACTTCAAATTGTTATATAGAATGATTACAAATTATTTGTTGTTTGTGCAGCTTAGTCAAGAGTCCCTAATTGATGAAGTCGACTCAGATTCTGACGATTTAACTGTCAAGAAGAAACCTGTAAAAAAGTATGGAAAAAGAAAAATCAAAAACACTTTTCTTCAAGACTCTGAAAGTGACGAACCAAAGGCAAATAAGATTGTTATCATGCAGCTGCAAAAGAAGAAAAATGGGGGGCGAGTTTATAGCAAGAGACATTTCTGCCTCTACTGCTCAATGTCCTGCCACAAAATGTCCCGTCATTTGACTAGAAAACATGGAAATGAAAGTGACGTAGCCAGAGCATTGGCTCTACCTGTGAAATCTAAAGCACGTAAACTTCAGTTTGATTTGATCAGGAATAGTGGAAACCGTGAGCACAATTTTGAGGTTTTAAAGGCCGGCATTGGAACTTTAGTCCCAGCTAAACAGCCAAATTGCCCAGTTAAATCCAGTGAGTTTTTGCACTGTATAGACTGTGGGGCATTGCTTAAGCGAAAGTCGCTGTGGAGGCATGTGGCCAGGTGCCGGCTTTCACAGAAAGATGCCCAGGCTAAACCAGGTAGAAGTAGGGTCCAGTCCCTCTGCTCCCTAGCCCAGCCTGTACCGGAGGGCATCAGCAAAAAGCTGTGGTCTTTAATTTCGGCAATGCATCAGGATGAGGTCACGGGTGTTGTCAAAGCAGAAAAGGGGATTCTGAGACTCGGAGAGCACCTGTACTTAAAACACGGGCATGATAAGACTAAGCATGATTACATTAGGCAGAAAATGAGAGAAGTCGGTAGGTTAATTAACGAAGCAAAAACTGCAGGGAAACTGAAAACAATTAAGGATTTCTTTATTCCTTCCAACTTTAACCATGTGATTGATGCAGTCAGGTCTGTGGCTGGATATGATGAGGAAACAAATCAATACAAGACTCCATCCTTGGCCCTCAAACTCGGCCATAGCCTCAGAAAGCTAGCAGATATTCTTGAATGTGACTCAAAAATGGAGCATTGTGTTGATGAACTATTTATTAAAAACCTCCAACGAAGCCGGCTGCTTTTTGAGAAGAGGTGGGACGTCTGTGTTTCTTCTGCTGCCCTACAGACCCTCCGGCAAGCCAAGTGGAACACTCCGAACCTGCTCCCTCTGACTGAGGACGTTAGAGCCATGCATGCACATATTGAGGTATGTCGACCTGAATATGTGCAAACCCTAATAAGTGAGCCAACGTCTAAGCATTGGTCTAAACTGGCAGTTTTGACTCTTTGTGAGGTCATTATTTTCAATCGAAGAAGGGAAGGTGAGGTTTCAAAGATGCCACTGACAGCCTTTACCTTAAGAAGTAAGACTGGGATCCATTCTGACATTGCTCTGGGACTGTCCCAACTTGAGAAAAAGCTGTGTCAGCATTTTCAACGCATTGAAATTAAAGGGAAAAGAAGTCGGAAAGTGCCGGTTCTTTTGACTCCTGAAATGATTGCTTCGATGGAGGTGCTGGTGGAGAACAGAAGGGCCTGTTCCATCTCTGACCATAACCCATACTTCTTTTCCCGCCCGGGCGCAGACACCCACATCAGGGGATCAGACTCCCTACGGCAGGTAGCCAAAGAATGTGGTGCGGTGCATCCAGAGATGCTATCCTCCAACCAAACTTAGAAAGCACATAGCTACTATGTCTACAGTTCTCAATATGAAAGAGAATGAGATGGACATACTTGCCAACTTCCTCGGCCATGACATTCGCATCCACAGGCAATATTACAGACTACCAGAGGGGACACTGGAGCTGGCCAAAATCAGCAAAGTGTTGATGGCCATGGAGCAGGGAAGAGTGACGGAATTCGAAGGAAAGAGCCTCGACCAGATACAAATTGAGCCTGAAGGTAATTCTTGATATTATTAAAATATGTATGATTTTTTTCCCCTAAAGGCCACTTGTATT